GGGTCAGGGGCCTTGTAGCGTGGCCGGGTGGGTGGCCTCGCATCACACCAGGCCATCCTGAAACAAACGGGCAGGGTTCACAGAGCCTGCTGGGAAGCACGTGCGCTCCTGCCCCAGGACCTGGGCTGTGAGGGGAGACCCTGAGACTCCTTCAGCGCTGCAAGGCCTTCTCCATTCCGTGCGGCCACATGGGGACAGGGCTGTGGCTCTGGATATTGGAAGAGGCTCCTTGAGGCACTTGGAGACCTGGGGTTCTCGTCAGCCTTCTCCTGTTGATTATTCATGCTGCCCAAGACCAGCCCCTCTCTCTGCCCTGGCTCCCAGCTCTTACAAGCACTGGGCCCTGGGCTGGCTCAGGCAGCCGCCCCCTGGAGTAGGGGGCGTGGAGAAACTTGGGGACCTGCCCTGCAAAGGGGGTACCCACCTGCCCTGAGCCCCAGAGAGCAGAGAGTCCATACCTCGGAGATGCTGCACCTCCTTCACCTTCTAGGACAGCTCTTATTTCACTCTGCGGCCCAGCCTCAGCCTCAGAGCCCAACTGTCCCCCAGTGAAGACTAAGATTCAAGCCACTCTCTGAGGGTCCCTCAGTGATGCCATCCTATAAAACCTGGGCATGGACACTGCGTCCTCACCTTCCCTTCCCTTCCCCTCCCCACTTCCAACTGCTGCCTCTTCTCTGCCCGCCTTCAGAGCTTTCTCCCCTCAGGGCCACTGCGTGCAGCACTCTGGAGACCGCCGTCTGCACAGACCCCAGGGAGGGGTGCTCCTGGGGGAGGCATCGCGGGGGCCCTGCCTGGCCCTCTGCAGTTGGACTCAGGCACCTCAGTCCCATGGACTGGCTCTTGACCCAAACCCCGGTGCCTCTTTGGCCTCTGCACGCAGCTGTGTGCACACGGGGCAGTGGTGCACCTCCTCCCGGGAGCGCTTTCCCTCGGAGCTTCTGTGACACCTCATACCCTCCTGCTTTCCTCCTCTCTTCCTGCCAGTCCCACCTCTTGTAGGGCTCCCGACTAGCACAGACACCTCTGGGTCTCCATGGAGCCCTAGAATTGAAATTCCGTTTGCCCCAAGCCTTCTGCATCTAAGCCAGAGAATGGACCTCTCTTCCCTGCTCCAGGTTCACAGCGCCCCACCCACCATCTCCCCTGGGATGCCTGGGGAGGGCCCAGTGCAATGTCACCCCTCGCTGACCTGCCCAGACCGTCCCACTGCCACCAACATCCAGGAAAGCAAGGCCACCTGCAAGTGCTCTTGATTCCCATGCCTGTACACTCACACCTGCCACACACACATCTGCCCCACAATCACCACACCCACGCCAGCCACGCCCACACATCCAGATCCCCAGCAAATCCTGTTGGTTGCAAAATAGACCCTGTACTTGACGCCTTCTCGTGGTCCCTACTGTCGCATGGCCTGAGGCATCAGTCCCTCCTGATGCTCACCACAGTCTCTAATCAGACTGTCCCTTTGGCCACTCTGTCCCTCACACAGCGGCCACACAGCAGCCAGGGACACTTCCTCCTTTTGCTGTGAAAAAGTTCAAGCACTCATCGAAGTCAAAAACCCAGATGCCCACCACCTAGATTCTCCCGTTGATACTGTGGTACTCACTGTACCACCTCTCTATCCATCCCTTTACCCACCTCCCCATCTTGAGTTCAGTTTCTAGAGGCAGAGTGTTGCAATGCTGCCCAGGCTGGTCTTGAGAATTCCTGGCCTCAAGCGATCCTCCCTCCTCAGCCTCCCCATATCTAGAGACTGACTGGGACTTCAGGGATCCACCACAGGCTTGTCTTGATTTAAACAACGTTTTCAAAGTAAGCTGTAGACATCAGTACCTTTCTACCTAAATACTTCATCGTGTACATCATTAACTAGAGTTCAGTACTGTTTACAGTATTTTTCTTTTGAGGCAAAATTTACATACAATGTAATGTGCGAATCCTGACCATATATTCCATGATTTAAAAATTTTTTTCGGGATGGTCTCACTCTGTCGCCCAGGCTGTAGTGCAGTGGCGCAATCTTCGGCTCACTGCAACCTCTGCCTTCCAGTTCAAGTGATTCCCCTGCCTTAGCCTCCCGAGTACCTGGGACTACAGACACCTGCCACCATGCCTGGCTAATTTTTTGTATTTTAGTAGAGACAGAGTTTCACCATATTAGGATGGTCTCGATCTCCTGACCTCGTGATTGGCCCGCCTCAGCCTCCCACAGTGCTGGGATTACAGGTGTGAGCCACCGCACCTGGCCCATTCCATGAGCTTTAATAAAGGCATATACACTTGTGTAATCCAAACTCCGACTAAAACATTGCACATTACCCCAGAAGCTCCCTCACGTTCCTTCCTAGCCAAGCCCTGTCCTGCCGCCCCAGGGCAGTCTGGGGTGCAACAGACCAGCCTGAAGCAGCCACCATTGTGAATTCTTCTATTCTTCTACCACAGACAAATGTTGCCTAATCTAGAACTTGCTATAGATGGAGAAGCTGCTCTTTTTTCATTCAGACAGTATTTCTGAGATTCACTCATGCTGATGCTAGAGCGTTGTGTCCATCTTTGCTTTGAACTCTCTAAGGGTGGAACCCCACTTTTGCTGTGGCCCTCTACTCTGCCCTGGGCCCTCTCCTTTATTCCCATGCCCCTCCACCTGCCACCTCCCTGTTTTCCAGACCCCCTGGTCTTCTTTCTGACCTTGCATACCCCAAGCTCATGCCACCTCAGGGCTGTTGCACTTGCTGTTCTTCTGCCGGAAGGCTTTTCCTGCAGATGGTTGCAGGCTCTTTCCCTCATTCCGGCTTAGCTCGAACATCACCTGCTCAGAAGCTTTCCCTCACTCTTCACTCTAAAGCAGCCACCACCACTGTCCTTTCCTTTGTGACACTTACCCCTGTCTAAAATCTTGTGTACATTTTTTATTTATTTGTTCCCTGTCCATCCTTCACCCCCAGCTAAACTCCATGAGAGCCAGGCCCATGTCTTCCTGCTCCCCGCAGTGCTTCCAGTGCCCATGCAGCATAAATACTCTTGAATGAAAAAGTGGATGAGTATGTGAACGTATGATTGCCAGCTCTTTCCTGTGACTCTGCCCTCCTGGCTGCACTGCATCTCCTCTGCATCTCTAGCGGGGCTGAGCCATGCCCACAGCCCCTACCAGCTGTCACTGAGCTTGCCCTGGCCCAGGGATGAGGTACGCTGGGATGAGGCAGAGTCCTGGTTTGGCAAACAGATCCATGTGTGCTCAGCTAGCATATGCAGGGAGGCTTTGGGGCTAAAAGGCAGGAATGAAGTCTCCTCTTGGAGAGCAGGGGCCTCTGGTGTAATGCTCTCTACTTTTCATCGTCTTTGGTTCCTACAGGACCCCAATATTCAATTAACAGTCCAGTAGCGGATTTCTGGTGCACGGCCCCAACATGCCTACGCCTCTGTAATAGTGGAAAGCCTTTCTTTATGGGCAGATGAGCCAAGAAATCACCCATACTTATGCTTAATCAACCATCAAATTACAGTTAAGCAGAATCAGCTGAGACACACTTGCAACAAGAAGTAACAACTGGAGGCAGGCAGATAACCTGAGGTCAAGAGTTCTAGACCAGCCTGAGCAACATGGTGAAACCCGTCTCTATTAAAATTGCAAAATTAGCTGGGCGTGGTGGTGCATGCCTGTAATCCCAGCTACTTGGGAGGCTGAGGCAGGAGAATTGCTTGAACATGGGAGGCGGAGGTTGCAGTGAGCTGAGGTCCCACCTCTGAACTCCAGCCTGGGCAACAAGAGCGAAACTCCATCTCAAAAAAGAAAGAAAGAAAGAAAAAGTAATAACTGCAAACGACTTAGGAACTACTTAGGAACAGGTGTCTTTTCCCAGCTTATTTCTGCAGCCGGAACTGCAGGATATTATCAACTCACCTTTCTGAACGGCACCCTCAGTTTATTTATGGGTTGCTGCTTCGCAGCCTCGTTTGCAGATCATCTTTCTCTGCTGCCAAGACTGGAGTAGCACCACGTTTGCACATCAGGCCGCCCAGCTTCCAACCCTCAGTGTGACATCTGGGCTGCTTCCAAAGATGAGCTGCACGCCGCTGCCCAGCTAGAAACATCTGTCTTTAGGCAGGGCTAGGGTTTTTTGTTTTGTTTTGTCTGTTTAAAAATTTCCTCCGAAGAGATTCCCTAAATAGTTTGTATCACCCCTTCATCCTAACGCCTGTAAAGGTAGCTCGTCAGTTGCGCTTTTTTATACAGTGGCGTGCCTGGTTCCCCCGGAAACATGGGAGCTGGGCATTTGGTTTTGTCGCTTAAGAAGTATCTTTCGGCCGGGCGCGGTGGCTCACGCCTGTAATCCCAGCACTTTGGGAGGCCGAGGCGGGTGGATCACGAGGTCAAGAGATCGAGACCATCCTGGTCAACACGGTGAAACCTCGTCTCTACTAAAGCTACAAAAAATTAGCTGGGCATGGTGGCGCGTGCCTGTAATCCCAGTTACTCAGGAGGTTGAGGCAGGAGAATTG